TATTAAACAAGCTGATAAACCAGAAGAACCATAACATTGTATTTGACATTGCAATAAACACTTTTGACTCATCCAAAGCATATGAGATAGTAGCAATTTCCGTATTATGGATTGATTGATTCATTTATTCGATTTCTCCAGCTTAGCAACCCTTTGCAGGTTATTTAAAGCCAGAAAATATTTTTTAGAGTGTAATGGTTTAGTGATACAAGGCTTACTAATTAACCCATAGGTGGGAGGGGAAGAGGTGGATTCATGCCTAATCAGAATTTGATAAATAAATAAGAAATTATAATGTGCATATAAAATGGGGGATTAATTCTATATTGCAATAAATATATAAATTGATCCCTCACTTTGTTTCTATACATTTATATTCCAGAGAATGTAAATAAATACCTATGTAGCTCATCAGTATTTGATTGTTTAATTGATTTTTTTCTATAGCTTATCAACCCTTTGCAGGTTATTTAAAGGCAGAAAATATTTTTAGATTGTAAGAATTTTTTTCAAGATAATAATATTTTAGTGATAAAGGCTTACTAATTAACCAATAGCTAGGGGGAGGAAAGGTGAATTCATACCTTTCCTAAGAGTATTTCCACATAAGTGAATAGAACAAACCCAACAAGAATTGGAACTCAGCTCTCCGATTAACAATTCTTAGTCAATATCTATTACATGACCCACACTTCCAAGCACCTGATATTCCCAAACAATCATCATCTTGGTAGTGACCAAGTTCAATGTTGCTTAACTTCTGTAATTGTACAAGAACCAGTGTTTCAAGATGATATGGCCATAATCACCTATTATGGAAACTCAGGTGTTTATTTGATCCCCAATCTATAGGATTGTATTCTGATGATGAGCTAATAATGTCATGAAAGAAAATACCTTAGAGAAATTGACAGATATAAAAAGGGGTTGACTGTAGCTGAGATCATTGAGTCAATGTGAACAATCCTTTCCTTAGCTGCATAGTATGTGCTTTGCCAGGGCTACATACAGATTTGAATTCAGAGTTTTCCTTCTACTAGACCGGTGGGCACCCAAGGCTATAGAACCCAGTCTGTCCTACTATTTATCCATAGCTGGGAGGGAGAAGAATTGGATTCATACATTTCCCAGTGCTAGTAGAATGTAAGTGAATGTAATGAACTCGACTGGAATTTGACCTCAGCTTTCCAATTCCTCAATTTGCAATCCATTTGTCTACTGTAGGAAATTAAGTTCTTTAAGGACTCTAAGAATTTTCATGATTACAAATGTAAAATAAAATATTTTCTTAGATGTGACATTTAACTTCAGCAATATATGCAAACCATTTTGGAAAAAAATGTGGAAAAATTAAAATACATCCACTAAAATTCAAACTTGCACTTCTATCCTGAAACATATATGCATTTGAGACTATCCCCAATTTCCAAGAAAGCACTCAAAGAGACAAAGATTAAATACAAAAAGTATTTGGCTGAAAGCAAACATAAATCATGATTAGAATTCAACATAGTTGACAGGAAAGTAGAAGAGAGTTTCACAAGCAAGAAATGTGAAAGAAGAAATAATTATACTAGGTATAAGTAGCAAATTCAACAGTGAAATGATGAGACCTAGCTGCCAATCTAGTACTGTGCTTAAATTGGTGAAGTTGAGCTACCCAAAAGTAAAGCTCATCATAACAATTACTATTAAAATATTTATAAAAGAGGCAAAGGAAAGCTATGTTATGGGAATAGGTAAGTGACTGAAGCTGAGATGCCAGGTTAGGACTGATAAGATTGCTCATTCTTATTTGGATTTTGTCAAGGATATCAAGATATATAGAAGCAGATGTGGAAGCAATATTCAATATGAATGTGCAAGACAAATATATCAGAAGATATGCATTATATATAAATATATCTTGTATGTTAAGACTAAGGTACAATTTAATATACATGTACATATTTTAAAAATACATTGTTGGCCAACTCATTTTTTACTTTCATAATTGTGGGGCATGGTGGCGTAATTGTTAGCCACTCAGATTGAGGAATCAGAGGACCAAGTTCGATTTACAGTAGTGTTCATTACATTCAATTATGTGCTAATACCATTCAGAACGCTATGAATCCATCTCTTCTTCCCAGTTATGGGTAAAATAACAGGAGAGACCGGGTCATATAGCCTTATGTGTCAACCAGTCTAGGAGAAGGAAAACTCTGAATTCAAGCCACCTGATGCCTTGTAGGCCCTGACTCTTTAAGCAAAGGCTAGAAGAAGGTATCTTCAAAAACAAATCCATCTTTGAGAGAAAGGATGCAGTAACCTCAGCATACTCGGGGCAAAAAGGAACTGGCAAGCTATATAAGCTTGGGTGGAAACCAGTTTGAAGAGAGTTGGTCTCAATCAGACTATCTTGCCCAAGGCACACCACTGCTAATGGATTACAGATTGCGATTTACACCTAACTGTATATAATGAACTCAATTTGAAGTTGAACTTAGTTTTCTGATTCCCTTGCAGTTATTAATCACCCAATCTTTACATCAAAGCTTACAGATCCAACTATTCCTAAGTGGTCCCCCCATCTAGGTACTATGCAGATTCAACATTGTTAAAGCATCAAGTGATCAGAATAAGATCTAATGTTTCAATATCTGACCATAAGTCATATGATGCTTTGTAATAATGCTTAAGTAATAATTCAAAAATCTTTGATGATGAAGAATAATTAATGTGAAATGACATGAAGCATAATTCTTCAATTGCTTTTTTCTTTTGGATCTAGTTTTATAATATTATTTTAGTTTTTCTAACACTTCCCCACTATTAGCAGCTCTTTAATGAGAGGAGGTAAGTATCTTATGAAGTAAAGATTAAGAAATCTTTTGACATGATTTCCTGAACCCCATGTACAGGGATTGGACAAAATAATTGGAACACTTATTAAATTCAAAGAAAATTTATTTAATATGGAGTTGGCCATCCTTTAGCCTCACAGACAGCTTTAATATGTCTAGGAATGGAATAATACATCTTCCTGACTTCATCCAGAGGAATTTTCAGTCATTCTTACATTAAAACCTTCTCCAGCTCTTTATTACACAATGGTGGAGGATAGCGGCTCCTAACTTGTTTCTCCAAAATGCACCACAAATGTTCAATAATATTGATATCTTGAGATTGGGGAGGCCACTCTATGTGTTCTAGCTCACTTTCATGCTCTTCATACCAATTCTTGACCACTTGAGAGGTATGTATTGGAGCATTATCGTTTTGGAAGATGCAGTCACCATAAGGGAATAAAGTCTTGGCCATTAGATGAACATGATCTCCTAAAATGTTCAGGTAATCTTTGCTGTTGATTCTACCATGCAGGGCAACTAACTATCACTGATCTATCTCCATGCTTCACTGTTGGAAGAAGGCAGTCAGGTTTGTAAGCTTCTTTGGGCTGCCTCCACACATAAACTCACCTTGAAGTTGAGGAAAGAGAAAAACTGGACTTGTTTGAGAATATGACTTGCTTCCATTGGTCTGAAGACCAGGAATTGTGATCTCTGCACCACTTCAACCTCTTTTGAATGTTACAAGTGGAAAGAAGAGGTTTCCTCACAGTGGCTCTTCCATGATATGCAGCCTTATGGAGCTCACGGTGAACAATTTTAGTAGAAACTGAACTATTCAGATGGTTATTCAACTCAGCCGTCACTTTGGCCGCATTTGTTCAATGATTTTTTGACACATTGCATTTTAAATGCACGTCAGTCCCTGTCGATAAGTTTGCAAGTCCAGCCCAAATTGCTATGATTGCTAGAGGTCTGCCCTGTTTCTCAAATTGCATCAGTGTTCTTGATATGGTAGCTCTTGAAAAACCAAACAGTTCAGCAACCTTAGTGATCAAGGCTCCTGCCATGCAAGCTCCAACAATTTGCTCTTTTTCGAACTTTGAGAGGTCACACATTTAGCTTAAATTTTACTAAATTCTAAAAATAGATAAAACAAAGACAGTAAATTAGATAAATAAATGTATTTACAATAGATATAACCTGCAATTACGAAGTTTTAGTTAAAGCTCTTGATATAATAGGTCTTTGAAATATAGGAGTGGATTTTGCAACTGTTCCAACTATTTTGTCCAACCCCTGTATATGTAGCTTTTAGAAGAGAAACTATTGTCTCCTTCCCCACATCTACAATTTACATTGTAAAAACAAAGACTTTTTGTCATATGTATGCTTAATATATATATATATATATATATATATATGTATATATGAAGAAATATAGTCTTAAGGTGTGCTATATTTATGGGATAAAGTGCTCAGTATTAGAGACAAAGTGCATGTAAATATAAGAGTGAACTTTGAAGTCAATGCTTAGAGGCAACAGGCTGTTTCAGGCTAGACGTAATCGTCATCAAACGTGATATATATATATATATGTGTATATATATATATATATATATATATATATATATATATATATATATATGTGTATTTAAGCAGTAATCCCTCTTTTATATATGTTTCATTAAAGATGATAGACAAGGTCCTGTGATTAAGCTTTTTATTTAATTTTTTGTGTTCGAATGAGCGTTTTCTTTTCTGGACAGTGTGTAGTAACTGTCCAAATGTTTTGTAATTCTGAGCACTTTTGGCTATACTTTTCGCCATTATCAAGGATGATTTTATTGTTGCGTTTTGATTGGGTGCATGGGTCATGTGTGTTTCTAGATTTATTGGAATGTTTTATTTTCTGAACACAGTCAGCAATTGTGGCCATGTTCATAGTTAATATTATTAAGTGTTGATCTTTTCTTTTTTTATTATTAAGGATTTCATTATTTTTAATCTTTTTTTACATGTGGATGGGGTTATTATGTTTGTATTGGAGTCTGAATTATAGAACATTTGGGCAGTTTCTACACATTCTGTGTCCTAAAAAGAAAACACTTATTTGAACACAAGAAAAATTAAATAAAAAGCTTAATTGCAGTACCTTGTCTGTCATATTTAATGAAAGATATGTGATAGATAGATAGATAGATAGATAGATAGATAGATAGATAGATAGATAGATAGGAAGAGACTGAGGTAGATAGAGAGAGAGATAGCAATAGATGGAGAGAGATAGGAATAGACTGAGATAGTTAACAATAGACTGAGATAGATAGATACATGCATAGATACATAGATAAATAGATAAAGTGGAACAGACTAAGATAGATAAAATTAATAAATTAAAATGTATATATATATATATATATATACTCGACTTTCTCATCGAATTCGGCATATGAGGGTCAAGCAGATCAGTTCCCAGGAAACCGTGAGCCTGACAACAGCACATGAGATTTGATTTTAGTGGTGAAGGTTTCGTGCAGGACCATCTACACTTTTTGAAGGGCTGAATACAGAGACCTGGTGCACTAAGTGCTACCAGGTCCCCAAACGACCCTCCGCAGGTTTTGAATTCAGAGTTGTCCTTCTCCTAGACCAGTTGCCATCCAAGGCTATAGAAACCAGGTTGTCCTGCTATTTACCCATAGCTGGAGGGAGAAGAAGAGGATTCATACCTTTCCCAAGGGTATTAGCACATAAGTGAATGTAATGCATTCAATGGAATTTGAACTCGCTTATCCAATTCCTCAATCCAAACCGATATCCATTACTCCACACTGCCTCCGTAATATATATATATATATATATATATATATATATATATATATATATATATATATATATATATATATATATGTGTGTGTGTGTGTGTGTGTGTGTGTGTATGTATATATATATATATATATATATATATATATATTTATATATATATATATATATATTCATACACATTCATTAAATAATATAGATAAGTGTTGTCTATTTATTTTATGTAAATTCTTTTCATAACATCTAATAAGTTTAATAACATTATCATTGAACGAAGAAAGAAATTCACTATATTGATCCATATTTTTTAATACAATCTAAGCTTTCGGCTTACATAAGCCATTATCAAAGATGTCAATTACGACATATTAAGCAATATACAGACAAGACAGTGATGACGGTCTGTGAATGTTTATATAGATGAACTCTAAGCAACGATAAACACGTGCATATAAGACGCTAGAAAATCGCACATCATCTCATGACGTTACGTGTATGAATGAAATATGTATGTATGTATATATATATATATATATATATATATATATATATATATATATATATATATATATATATAAAGCACTTGGACAAATTCTACATAATTTATGAAAAGAAGAAAATTATAAGAACATAAGAAAAGTGAAATAAAAAGTTTCTTGTTAGTTGTTTTTCATGAAACTTGTATAAAAGAGTTATTACTGTCCAAATACACAATTATATATATATATATATATATATATATATATATATATATATATGTATGTATATATGTGTGAATAAAACCAAAAGGAAAACTTATCTTAGCCAATGCATTTCATCCTCTAAGCAACTTTATCAAGTTAAATGTGACTTGTCTTGATAAAGTCCTTCAGAGGACAAAACTCATCAGCTAAGATAAGTTTTCCTTTTGTCTTTATTCATATTGTCCTTTTACTGGTATACTCTATCTCTTTATATGCACACACACACACACACATAGATATATATATAATAGCACACTGCAAGTGCTGGTGGTAATAATAAAACAGTGCTCAATGTAAAATAAAAGAGCTATAATTTATATTAACAATAAATACACATTTGTTACATGACCATAATATTAAAAACTTAAAGGGAAATGTTTAAATTCAAAACTTTCTCTTATTTAAAATAAATAAATACATAAAATAATTTCTCGAACTAAAATAAAATAATTGCATAAAAATTTCTAAAACAAAAATAGCATTTACTCACTTTCATTTATTAGACATTAAATTATATCACTTAGCATCCTCCATAGTTTACCTTGCCTCTCACAGTTAACCTGAAGAATATTTCTGAAGATTCTTAAGTTAAACAATTTTTAAAATCTAATATGTTTACTTCTGTTTATAAATTCTTGTTGCAAAATATCATCCTTGATAAAGTGAATCAGTGGATGTAACATGATTGTAAAGAATAATTTAATTCATTTTGCCTTTTTATAGGTATATTTTGATTCATATTTGAATTTGAACATATATATATATATATATATATATATATATATATATATAAATAAATTTAAATTTAAAAAAGATATTATAACCACACGAGTAGTTTTAAAAATGCAAAAATTAAACATAGTACCACGCTATCTACCTATGTATGGAAAACTAAGCAAGAAGATAATATAGACCCCATCCTTAAATGGGAAATATTAAAAAAATGCCCAAAATATAAAGCAGGCCATAAGTTTTGTAAATTGTGTGCAGAGGAGAAATTAGCCATAGCTTTATATGATCAACCTAACCAGCTATTAAACTCCAAAACTGAAATCCTTAACGTATGTAGACATAAAAAATCTTGGCTACTAAATTAGACAGTTCCCGTTATTGACATTCCACCTTAATGTTCGTGTGTTGTTGTTTTTTTTCCCTCCCCATTTTCGTTGAATAAATATTTTACCCCCCCCACCCCACTTAGGTTTGTGTTTGTGTTGTGGTTTTTGGG